TTGAGATCAGCTTGGCTAACATGGTGAAACCCCATCTCTACTAAAAATACAAAAATTAGCTGGGCGTGGTGGCACATGCCTGTAATCCCAGCTACTAGGGAGCCTGAGGCATGAGAATTGCTTGAACCTGGAAGGCAGAGGTTGCAGTGAGCTGAGATGGCACCATTGCACTCCAGCTTGGGTGACACTGTCTCAAAAACAAAACAAAATAAAATAACTGGGAATGGTGGCACGTGCCTGTGATCCCAGCTACTCAGGAGGCTGAGATAGGTGGATTGTTTGAGCCTAGGAGGTTGAGGCTACAGTGAACAATGATTGTACCACCGTACTCCAGCCTGGGTAACAGAGCAAGACCATGTCTCAAAACAAAACAAACAAAAAATAAATGTGCATTTAATTTTTCTGTGTAGGATATTCAAGTGGCTCGAACCCATGAACTGAAGCCCTATGTCATATTTATAAAGCCATCTAATATGAGGTGTATGAAACAATCTCGGAAAAATGCCAAGATTATTACTGACTACTTTGTGGACATGAAGTTCAAGGTAAGAGCAAGTCAAAAATTACTGTATTGCTTTCAGTGACTTCTGGTGAGAGAGATTTGTGTAGGGCCAGGCCAAGGAACTCTGATTGCATTGTCCTCCTCCTTCTTTTTGAACCCCCTCCCCAAAAGGTCCTCAATGAAATTATTACTATAATTTTATTTTACCAAAAAAAAATCTATATAAAAAATTAAAAACTGTATTGTTTCTATAGGACCTGTGTTAGAGAATGTAATTTTTGTTTCTAATTGTAATGCCCTTACGATTTATCCTTTTTGATAGACATCACTTACAGATATAAAAATAAAGTTTAATAAATGTTACGATGCTATCCTTTTTTCTTTATTCTTTTTTTTGGACTAGCTTAAAAAAAATCCTTGAGCCATAGTTTGCACAGCCAAACAGAAATTGGGCATATACAAGCCTGATATTTGTATTTTAAACAGATTTTACTTAAAAGCTTACTTTAAAAATGCTCTAGGGAGTATATCTCATCTGTAAAATGAGGCGTCTCACAAAAAATTTTATTAATGATCATGGTAATAATAGAGGGGGCAAGCCAGATAAAATTAATCAGTGATCCCATCCTAGAACAGGGGAGTTTTTCCAGTTGGATACATATATTTTACATTAAACACACTTTAAATATTGTGAGTCATAACATATATTCAGTAAGGTGTATAAATTGAGTGTACAGTTTAATGAATTTTTATGTGTGTATGCACCCAGATAACCATTACCCAGATAAAGATATTGTAGCCACTTATTTTGTGTGTGTGTGTGTGTGTGTGTGTGTGTGTGTGTGTGTGTGGTAAAAACACATAAAACTTACCATTTTAACTGTTTTAAGTTTAAGTTCAGTGTTAGTATTAAGTTAGTGTTAAGTATATTCACATTGTTGTGAAACAGATCTCCAGAATTTATTTACCTGGCAAAACTGAAACTAAAAATATGAATGATACACTAAAAATTTGTATGTCATCCTTGTACAAGGGGCATGCTAATTTCTGCATTGTTTCAGTTTTAGTATATGTGCTGCCAAAGCAACCACAAGTATCTTTATTCTTTCTCTTATTATTTTTCTTTATTTTTTTCAATGACTATGGAGATCTGATTTTCCAGTTTGCCTTGTGAACAGTGGAGTCCATGAATGTATTTGTTGAGTATTATGGGCATTTAAATTTTTTCTTTTTATGACAGTCTAAACAAATTAACAAAATTGTTTCTGGATCATATGTATAGTCACTTTGTAAAGCCATAAGATTTCGGTGCCTGCATTTGTATTTGTGTTTCAGATTGTACTGGTGACAAGTTGTACTATTTTGTCGTGAACTAATAAGAAAATAGCAGCAATGAATTTAGTGTATTAGTGCCAAGTGAAGCCTAAATTATCTTCATTAAATGAACATTTCACAATAGTAGAAATAGATAATATAACTGGCTTATACCATCCTCATGTTGAAAGTGGCCATTTTATATCTTTAAAATAATGTTATTCCTATCAGATTAATGTTCACTTGAAATTTATGTTTAAATTTTATTTAAACTGGTACATTTTTTTTGGCTTTATGTTGTATATGGTTAGAGAGCTTCATGTTTAGATAAGAGTTAAAATAAATTCACATGGGAAGTTGAGGGGAGTAATCTGTCTGCAAACTATTAATAAATTTTACAAAACATCAACCAGACATTAAGACTAAAGATGGAAACATAAGTTTTGTAATTTAGAAGACATTTATTGGACCTCACTGGTTATAGTTTCACAGCTGAATGTGACAGCATAGCAAACCGTATTTTTTCCATTTGTCTAAGTTTGTACTATCTGTATTTTTCTGTATTTCCTAAAGGACGAAGACCTACAAGAGATGGAAAATTTAGCCCAAAGAATGGAAACTCAGTTTGGTCAATTTTTTGATCATGTGATTGTGAATGACAGCTTGCAAGATGCATGTGCCCAGTTGTTGTCTGCCATACAGAAGGCTCAGGAGGAGCCTCAGTGGGTACCAGCAACGTGGATTTCCTCAGATACTGAGTCTTAATGAGACTTCTCGTTGAATGCTGGAGTTTTAACACTGTACCGTTGTCACCGCCATCTCCAGCTGCAATCTAAAACGGCAGTATTTGACCCATTATAATGTGTACAACTTTAAAAGTGAAGCAGTTTATTAATCTTATTTGAAAAAAAATTTGTTGTATGGTTATGTAGTTACCTATTTGGCTATTAATTTTTTTTCCTTTACCTCATATGAAGCTGTGGTAGAAATACGAATAATGTTAAGACACTGAGTATGAGACTTTTGCAGATTTCACATGATCTTTTAAGATTCAAATAAAGAGCTTTCCTAAAATAAGCAATATTTAATTTTAGAAATTGTATTCTACTCTATGAAATGTGTTTTATGAAAACATCTTTTACAAAAAGTGCTTACTTGACTAACTCAGCAAGAAAGGTTTAGTATACACATTTTCACACCTAACATCAAAACCTACAAAAAACTGCACTGCCTTCATTATTTACAAATCAGGCTACAAGGAAAAAATTATTCTCATCAGAGGTGTGACAAACACTAATTTTCCTTACAGCCAATATCTACATGCATGCCTAAATTAGAAAAAGGCAATGGATTAGTCCTAGAGACCTATATATAGAAAATAACAATATTGAAACTGTGTCTCAGAGTTAAAGAAACCAGGGACTAACAGAAATTCTTGAGCATGCAGGATGGCAGATAAAAAACAACTTGCTAAAATGCTGAAACTTCTTCCATTGTGAGATTTAAAACAAAAACAAAAAAACTGGCTGAAGTTGGTTAGTACTAACACAAATGGCTACCTGGAGTCTGTACAAAACGAACTTGCTGGCGTCACAGCTCGAATCTACTCCCATGTTTCATACTGACTTCCTCCAAAATTTGCACATGCAACCCATGAAGGGACATGAAATAACTGTGAACGCCAGAGGATTTTCCAGACCGCTTATTTCCTTCTACCAATCACCTACTAATCCCAGAATCCACTCCCTAAACCTTTTCTAATAAAAATACTGCCTTAAAGCCAGCACAGGGAGACAGATTAGAGCTATACTCCTGTCTCCTTGTTAGTTAATTCACAATAAAAACTTTTCTCAAAAAAACAGTGCCATAATACTGGCTTCTGTGTGTATAGGGCAACAAGATTCTGTTTGGCAGCAAGATTAGTATCCATTACAAAGTCTTGTTTCCCTTTCTTCCCCCAGATTTGAGATTTCCAGGTGCTTTCCCTGTTCCTGTATATGTTCATCTTCTCCATCATTCTCTTCTCCTTATTTACACCATTATTCCATCTTTCCCATCTCTTTAACTGTAAAACAGAATGCACGATTCAAATATTTATAGAGACATGCAAATCAAAACCACATTGAGATACCATTTCACGCATTAGAATGGCAATCATTAAAAAATCAGGAGACAACAGATGCTGGAGAGGATGTGGAGAAATAGGAACACTTTTACACTGTTGGTGGGAATGTAAATTAGTTCAACCATTGTGGAAGACAGTGTGGTGATTCCTCAAGGATCTGGAACTAGAAATACCATTTGACCCAGCAATCCCATTACTGGGTATATACCCAAGGGATTATAAAACATTCAACTCTAAAGACACATGCACACGTATGTTTATTGCAGCACTGTTCACAATAGCAAAGACTTGGAACCAACCCAAATGCCCAACAAAGATAGACTGGATAAAAAAAAATGTGGTACATATACACCATGGAATACTATGCAGCCATAAAAAGGATGAGTTCATGTCCTTTGCAGAGACATGGATGAAGTTGGAAACCATCATTCTCAGCAAACTGACACAAGAACAGAAAACCAAACACCACATATTCTCACTCATAAGTGGGTGTTGAACAATGAGAACACATGGACACGGGGAGGGGAACATCACACACTGGGGCCTGTTGGGGGGCAGGGGATTAGGTGAGGGATAGCAGGGGGTGGGGGGATTGGGGAGGGCTAACATTAGGAGAAATACCTAAGGCGGGTGGGGATGGGTGCAGCAAACCACCATGGCACGTGTATACCTATGTAACAAACCTGCACGATCTGTACATGTACCCCAAAACTTAAAGTACAATAAAAAAAAAAATTGTAGTTCTCTGCTAAAGTTATGTTAAAAAAAAAAAAAAACACCCAACCAAACAAAACTATGCAAATTAAGTCGTTTGTAGTGATATTTATGTGACGTCGGATTTGATTTTAAGGTTCTTTGAGAAAAAGTTTTTCCAAATTTGATTTACACGGTTGTGGGATGAAGGGTAAGCAATTGGAGGAAATGTGAGGATTGCCTGTATCAATACACATCCACACACCAAGGCTCGCAAAGACTTGTTGGTCCTGGAGAGTAAACGCGTTCGTCTGTAACCCAGCAGGGTCCGGCAGAGCCGAGGCGGGCGGGGATCTGGCTCAGGGGGCGGTGGCCTCGCCAAGCGCCAAGAAGCCCGGCGTCCCGCAGATCGCGGCGTCGCGGGGAGCTGGGCTTGGACCGCCAGCGGTTGCGCAGGAAGAGCCCAGCGGGGAGAGCACCATGAGGGCTGACTCGGGGCCTCGGCTGGAGGAGGGCCACCTGGTGAGCGGCGAGGGGCGCGTCGGCCTCGAGAGGTGGATGATCAGCCGCTACCCAGGCAGGGGGAATGGGAGGGCGGCGCCAACGAGCTAGGGATCACTAGCGGAGGGCCTTGTTCCTGGAATGCGCGCATCCGCTCCTCCAGGAGTGGGACGGGGACCCAGGCGAGGCCGGGACCCGAACTCTCGGAGTCGGAGAGGGGCCTGCCATGAAGTTTCCGGGGACCTAAGCCCGCGTTGCCACAACAACGCTTCACTTCTCTGCGGCCCGGGGCCCGGCGGGTTCCAGGGCTTCCAGCTGGGACTCTCCTAAACTCGGAGGAGAGGGCTGTAGCCGCCCAGAAGAGAGATCGCTGTTTGCCTGCGGAGTCCTTTAACCAAAGTCTTCTCTCACTCCCAGCTCCTCGCAAACAAATCACTGCGACTACTTGGGAAACCACGGGAAAACTGTGATTGGAGGGCTACGGCCGCCGGATCTCTGCTCCTGGGCACATTATCCCCGACTCCGAGGTCCCCTTTTCGGCAGGGCTAGTCTGGGACCGCCAGTCCATGTCCCAGCGCGCCTCTCACCCCGACGTCCCCCCAGGGGGCTGAGTGCGGGGAATTAGTCCAGCGGCGCGGCCCGATGACGCATTGCGCCTGCGCGCGCGGCCGAGCCGCAACGGGTGGGGCGCCCTGCGCCTTCGGGCCGGCGGTAGCCGGGGCTGGCTAAACGCAGAATGGGGAAGAAGCCTGTGGTAAGCGAGCCTTAGCTAGTTTTAGCTGTTAGGATTTTTGTCTTCAGTTGAGTCGTCCTACTTTTGAGGATTAAAGATTGGGTTTCTGGGTGCGTGGAACGTCATTTTTGCGGGACTTTTGAAATCAGTGACGTGAACTGATTCTTTAGATCAATCGCGCGTTTGGTAGCATCTTTAGAACAATAGCACGTTCCCGTGACTGTCATTCTTTTCCAGATGTAATTTTGACTACCGGATGGTATTACGGCAGCTTGCCTCGTCCTAATCTTGCAGTATCTGCATTAACCTGCTCTAACAAATGGAATGCTAAAAGACAAACTACAAGAGTGTCTGAAATTTAACTATTTTGAATAAATATCTTTTGCAAGCGGCATGAGATACTTGGAACATTAAATAGGCTTCTAGGCATTTCTGTTAGTATTTGATTCTGAAAACACTTCTCAACACTAATGCTCTCTGAACTTCACTTTTCTTATTCATGTAAATGAGCATTTAGAAGGGTTTCCCCCATCATTCTTTCTGCCCTAAAACTGTTTCTTCCCAGTATTTTCAAGTGACCTTTAAAAAAATTGTGTTATAGTATATATTATTATATATATTTTTAACATTGTTTCTAATACTCAACCACTAGAATGTAAGTTCCATAAAAGCAGGATTCTCTCTGTTTTGTTCACTAGTGTATCCCAAATGCTTAGAAAAGAGCCTGGCCTGGAGATAAAAAGGAATGTAGGAAGGAAAGAATTTTATATGAAATTTAGAATGGCAGAACAAATTTTAAATTGCCCATGTTTTTCATCAGTACCTGTCAAGCATCACTGATGAACAGGATTATCAGGAGATTTGAAGATCCTATTTCTGATCCATTATATTTTTCTGTTATGTCTGAACAACAGACTTGAAAGAATAGCTTTGGCTGGGCACAGTGGCTCACTCCTATAATCCCAGCACTTGGGAGGCTGAGTTGGGCGGATTACCTGAGGTCAGGAGTTCACGACCAGCCTGGCCAACATGGTGAAACCTCATCACTACTAAAAATACAAAAATTAGCCAGGCATGGTGGCCAGTGCCTGTAATCCCAGATACTTGGAGAGGAGAATTGCCTGAACCCAGGAGGCGGAGGTTGCAATGAGCCAAGATCGGGCCAGTGCCCTCCAGCCTGGGCAACAAAGCAGGAATTCATCTCAAAAAGAAAAAAAAAAAAAAAGAATAACTTTATGGTATTTGGGATACATGAAGTAAAGATTCTCTAAGCTTTTACTTACAAGCAAATTTCATTTTCTTTCCTCCCACAGCGTCCTCCACGAGCCCTTCCACCTGTGCCAAGGTAAAAATTATACAGTAATTTCATCATTGAGCTTTAACAATGGAAAATGAAGACAGTGGAAAAATTGACTAGTACCATTGCAAAATTATAATGATTCAGGAAAATCTTCTGAAAATTTAGGGATTTTCTAAAATTTTAAAGGTGAAAAATCGTTGAATTATAAGACTAACCGTTATAATTGAATGTTATATTTAAAAGCCTGAATATCAACATGGTAAGATAATGGATCCATTCCCATTCTAACTGTTTTAGTGGTTTTTTTTTTTTAATCCTTAGAATATTACCTTATTTGAAGCTGAGTTTTTTTTTAAATCAAAATTCTGATATTTTGTTTGTGAGAATAGTTTCCTCAGAGTTTAAGCTGATTTTAATCAGTGACAAGTAAGAGTTCTTAATCTGCTTAATCCACTTTATTAATAGACAGTAGGGAATATGTATATGTAAAAATATTGGCATTATTTTATTAGCAGTGTTATTAAACAGCTTATTAATTATGAGCAATAAGCTAGTTTGTAAACTAGCTGATATTACGTGAAGCTAATTTTATTTTAAATTTGTAATAAGTCAGTTTTCATTGTGAATAATAACAGGTTTCCAATTGTTTCTTTTTTTTGTCTTTGTCCTGCTGATTAAATTTGTTCGGTGTTACATGACGTGTTAGTCAAGGTGAGTTAGTTTAATGTCAATGTGAAATTTTCCAAATATAGTATTTGGTGTTCAAAAATTAGTTTGATTCCTTGGTTTGTTTCTCTGAAAATTGAATCTGAATGGTGTAATTTATAATTCTATGATATCTTTTTGTCATAATAATCTCCCATGACTACTATTTAAAAATTAACATTGATATATAGCACTGGATGACCTTACCATTATAAAAGCACTTCATCCCTGAATGGGATCACCCAGCATGTAGCTGTTGGCTAGTTTGTAGCTCTATAATAGGGACTACATCTTCCTTTGTCTCATTTTGTCAGGGTAGGCAAGGTTATATTATACTTAAACCCCCAAATCTCAGTGACTTAATATCATACAGGGTTATTTCTAATTAATACAAAGTCTGCTGTGGCAAAAATTGAGGACAATTGCCTTTCACTGCCTTTTTACTATTGATACAGAAATCTAGGCTACTTTTTTTTTTTTTTTTTTTTTTAAAAAAAAAGACATTCACCCAGCCTGGAGTGCAGTGGTGTGATCTCAGCTCATTGCAACCTCTGACTTCTGGTTTCAAGTGATTCTCCTGCCTCAGCCTCCCAAGTAGCTGAGATTACAGGCATGTGCTACCCCACCTGGCTACTCTTTGTATTTTTAATAGAGACAGGGTTTTGCCATGTTGACCAGGCTTGCCTTGAACTCCTGAGCTCAAGTGATCTGCCTGTCATGGCCTCCCAAAGTGCTGGGATTACAGGCATGAGCCACTATGCCTGGCCTGCAATCTAGGCTTCTTCTGTGCTGTGGTCCCACCATCTTAACATGAGACTTCCTCAGTCACCACAGCAAGGGAAGAGAAAGCTGGAAGATTACGCACTGGCTTTTTCAATGTTTGGCTCTGAAATGACACAAATCACTTCTGCTCACAGCCTATGGGTCAGAACCAGTCATAGGCCACACCTATGTGCAAGGGGGCTGGGAAATGTAGGGTATCAGATGAATCTTTGTTGCACCCACTTTCTGTGTCAGTTTCTAACATCACTAACCTGCTGTGTGCTACTGGTACCACACTGTGGGCTCTGTCTGATTTTCTCAATATCTTGCCTTCTTCCCCTAATCTATAAAAGTTTGCTGGGCCCAGGGAAGAGAGGGAAAATTTTTCCCTACTAAAAGTTCCCACTGTTCTCTGCGTTGAATTTTAGGCAGCCTTTTCTGTTGACTTTTTTTTCTGCTTTATAGATGATATTCCACTTAGTCGTCCTAAGAAAAAGAAGCCCAGAACAAAAAACACACCAGGTAAGATGTTATTCTTTGTTGTGTGGGAGCACAAGTTTTCCCAGAACCTCAGGCATAGTAAACATCCCAGATCAGGGCGAGGTAAGGCCCCAGCAGCCCCGAATCACCACTTCACTGAGGATAGAATTAAGGCCAGTTTGAAGCAGTGGTATTCCTGATGGTAGTGAGGTGCAGGGCAGTGGGCAGCCCGAGTATCTGGACACAGACATGGAATAAAAGGTGGTGCCATCTAAACTCTTATTTCCATGATATTCTTAGACTCTTTAAGGTCTTTTATTCCTAGACAACATATATGGTTTTAAGTTATGATTGATTCCAGACCCTTGAACAGGATACTGGATTTAGAAACAGAGTTCTTAAATCTTACTTCAGTCAGAATCTCTCTACATTAGAGCATGAGTCTGAAGGCATGGCCCCATCGTCATTTAAATGTTAAAGCTTCAGTAATGAGCAGAACTCCTTTTTGTCCTAGTCATCTACTAATAATCCTGGATGTTGTGTCAGTCACTCTAAACTCAGCACATCTAGAATCCATCATCGGCTTTAAGAATAAATGTTTACATCTCATGATTTTATGTTAATGGAACCTGCCATTTTCCCAGCACTCAGGCTTGAAACCTTGGGGTTATCTTTCTTTTTTTTTCTTTTTTTTGAGATGGAGTCTTGCTCTGTTACCCAGGCTGGAGTGCAATGGTGCAATCTCAGCTCACTGCAACCTCCCCTTCCTGGGTTCAAGCAATTCTCCTGCCTCAGCTTCCCGAGTAGCTGGGACAGGCATGTGCCACCACACCCAGCTAATTTTTTGTATTTTTAGTAGAGAGAGGTTTCACCATGTTGGTCAGAGTGGTCTCAAACTTCTGACCTCATGATTCACCTGCCTCGGCCTCTCAAAGTGCTGGGATTATAGGCATAAACCACCATGCCTTGCCCCTCAAAGTTATCTGTAACTGATCCTTTAACTTCACTCTTTACTTGTGACCTCTCACATTCCTAAAAGATTTCTGTGTTTGCTGCTCCTTTTAAATAAATAAATAAATAACATAAAAGGAATCATATGTACAGTCTTTGTTTCTTAATACACAGAGTCCTCTGTGTTCTTAAACAGTGACTTCATTGTATTACATGGTAAGATTATACCATAATCACTGCTCTTCTATTTATTTAGGTTATTTCATATTTTTAGGTTATTTAGATTATTTCAAAGTTTTCACTCCAAACATTGCAGTTCTACATAAAATAGTGGGTGGTAGGGAAGAGGTATTTTTGTAGGATGGATTGCTAGCAGTGGAATTGCTAGGTGAAGAATGTGTGCATTATTGATATGATAGACTCTGCTAAATTACCTTCAAGGAAGCTTCAGTTTTTATCTTGCTCCCTGTAGAGTCTCAGAGTGTCTTATTGTCTAAATCCTTAACAATATTAGACAATATTAATTATTGAAAATTTTTTTGTTAATTTAGTGGGCAAAAAGTAACTTACTTTAGTTTGCATTTCTCTAAATACTAGTGAGGTTAAGCACCTTTGCATTTGTTTATTAATATACTTATATTTCTTTTTTTCCTTTTTTTTGAGAAAGAATCTTGCTCTTTTGCCCAGGCTGGAGTGCAGTGGTGTGATCTCAGCTCACTGCAACCTCCACCCCCTGGGTTCAAGCAATTTTCCTGCCTTAGCCTCCTCAAGTAGGTGGCACTACAGGCACATGCCACCACACCTGGCTAATTTTTGTATTTTTAGTAGAAATGGGTTTTGCCATGTTAGGCAGGCTGGTCTTGAACTTCTGACCTCAGGTAATCTGCCCGCCTCGGCCTGCCAAAGTGCTGGGATTACAGGCGTGAGCCACCACGCCCGGCACATTTCTGTTTCTTCTTTTGTGAAGAAAAGCAAGGAAGGTAATGCAGTCAGGTAAAATCCAAATCTGCCAAAATGTGCCGAAATTCTTTTAAAAGATTTCATGAGGGAAGAAGTTGAAATGAATGACCAAATGAAGAAATTTATAAATTACCTGTTAACTCCAATTATCCATGATGATTTTATCATTCTTTAATTTATTAATGAAGGACTTTACTGTAAGGGTTATTGCCGAGTTTAAAATGAGGAAACTGAGGCCAGTATAAGAAAATTAAATGCCAATTTATTCAGCTCCTGGGTGAGGTTCTATGGTTGGGAGAAAGGGGCCAGAGAAGTCTCGCTGACTTCCTGGGGCGGGGGGTTTTATTGCTAGGAGAAATGAGCAACAGCTTGGTGCTCTGATTGGGTCCAGGGGAGCAGGATTGAGACGGGGCGGGCCGCTACTGGTTGGCGGGTTGTTGGGCGGGTTTTCCGCTGCAAGAGCCGACCAGGGTTGCATTAGCCAGAGCCTTCCAAGGGAGCCATGCGGCAGAGCTAGGTGCCGAGTGCAGAGCCTGGTGCCGGGTGCAGAGTCAGGTGCTGAGTGCAGAGGTGGGTATGCCTGGCCTCCCGGCGAGGCAACCAGCCTTACATTTACTATATAGAGGCTGATGAAAATTCTTAAGGCAACAGACAAGTAAGAGAATACTCTATGGTGTCAGTTTTTATTATGTTTTCCACCTTCTTGAAAATTCTAAATGTTCTGAAGCAATTTCTCCTCCTCCTATCTTTTGCTCTTCTTTTTAGCTCTCTCTTTTTTCTTCCTCAGCCTTTCTTATTCCTTCATTTATTTCTTTTCCCAACTTAAAGCTCAAAGTTACAGGTGAGGAGGAAGTAAAGATTTGTGGGACAATTAGTTCTGAAAGAGACAGGGTTATTCCATAGGAAACATTCTAGTTACCTTTTCCTCCATCTTTTTAAGATTCAGTGATCTTTGCTCAAGTAATCTTGTTTTTTTATACTCTGTTTTTCTATAGCCAGTGCTTCTTTGGAAGGCCTTGCACAGACTGCTGGTCGAAGGCCCTCTGAGGACAGTGAGCCATCAACTAAAGAACTCAAAGAGCACCCAGAGGCTCCTGTTCAAAGGAGACAGAAAAAGACAAGGCTACCTCTTGGTATGTGAAGAAACCAAGGTTAGGTTGTGATAGCAGTTGTCATTTTGGTGACATGATAAAAACCTCTCTGCTCTCATTTTTTCTCCCATCCATATCCCATAATTGGTTTCTTGTTTTTGTGTTTAAAATATTTCTCACTAGAATAACTCCAAGGCTTAAGCCAAGAATACTTTATAGGTCTCTTTTGATCATATACATATAGATTATGAGAGGAGGGCTACAAATGCAGGACTAAAACAGAAAGTTCAGATCTCAATGCATAGAAAAATCTAGTAAATGATGAAATGCACATTTCAGATTAGTGGGGAAATGATAGATTCTGTACTAACAATAATATAATGAAACAACAGCTATCATTTGTTCAGTCTTTCTATGTCCCAGGCAGTTCACAAGGTAAATAAAATACTATACCATTTTTTTGGCCTATCAGATTGGCAATGCTTTTTTCAAATTGTAAAATCCAATACTGATGGGAAATGGGTGCACTCATGTTTTGTTCATGGGTGCACAGATACAGCCTGTCTGGATTTCTAGGAATAGTAGTAAATTCATTAGCTACAGTAATTTAAGGATGTTAATTGCAACATTATTTATAAGAGTAGAAATTGGTAATGACGCAAATATTTAATGGTGTGATACCAGCTAAATAAATCATACTTTATCCATAAATAGAAACCAGATACCTAGTAAAAGGATCGTTGAAGAGTGACACAGATAATCATCAGTTATATATTATTAAATAAAAAAACAAAGGTTATAAAATAGTAGGTATTGGAAGATCCCATTTTTGTAAAATATACTGTGTTAATTTCTTAGGGTTCCCATAACAAATTACCACAAACTGAGCAACTGAAAACAACAGTTTATTTTTTCACAGTTCTTGAGGTTAGAAGTCCAAAATCAAGTTGTCTGTGGACTATGTTCCCTCTGAAGTCTCTAGAAAAGAATCCTTCCTTGTTTCTTCTAGATTCTTATGGTTGTTGACAGTCCTTGGCATTCTTTGACTTATGGCAGCATTATGCCAATCTCTGCCTCCATCTTCACATTTTTCCTTGTGTGTCTGTGTTCACATTTCCCTTTTATGTCAGTCATTGAATTTAGGGCCCATTCTAATCTAGCATGACCTCATTTTAACTTGATTACACCTGCAAAGACCCTATTTCCAAATATGATTACATTCACAGGTATTACGAGTTAGGACTTGAACATATCTTTTTTTTGGAGCACAGTTCAACCCAGAACGTAAATATATATATACATATACATAGTAAAAAGAATGGAAGACTATAGCAGTGTTAAAGTGGTAGAATTTTTAGAAGAAGGAAATATGATTTTTAAAATTTTCTTCGTTCATTTATATTTTGCTAAGTTTTTATATTTTGAGCATTATGACTTTTATAATAATTAGAAAAAGAACAAACGGTTAAAGTAAAACACAGGGAAGGAACAAAGATAGAGAGATTATGCTCTCCTATTAACATTGGCCCCTGTGAATAATTTATTGTAAATTAATTCTCCTGACTAATTACTTGTCCTCTTAGAAAACAGCATGTTTTGATTGGATGGAAGAATGATAGGAGTAAAAGGGCAGGAACTAGAAAAGTCAGGAGAATGGAACACAATTTTGGAAGGCAAGTTGAAGTGGGATACTGTCACTGAGGATCTGTGAGGAGAAGGAAAGGGTGGAAGATGGCAGGAGAAGGAAAAGAGGCAGAAATGATGCTCAGACTAGCTTTAACTACTCTGCAATTTATTTCTTTAGTGGCAGTAAATGTGGTTTAATTAAAACTGCCCTTTGAGTAATTTAGTTAGGATACAAGTTAAAAAATCAAGATGGATACCAATACTTAGTTTTATCATTTGTGAAAAGTGTCTTTACAGAAGTGACCTTTTGTAGAAAATGCAGGGCCCAACTAAGTTTTGGACCAAAAAGGACCTGTCATTGCCATTCCAAAGTACACCAAGCCTGGCAGGTTCAGCTTTCTAAATTTCTGGATTTAAAAATGGTGTTTTCATTTTATTTTGTTCAGGATGACCATGGTAGGCTCTACTGCTTGCATTATATTTCCAGTCCAGGCTAGTTAAGTGTTTTATTCCAATAGAATTGTAAGATCTTGAAGGTATTCCTGGGAGCTAGTATTTCCAGGTAGGAAGAGTAGCCAGTGTATTAGAAGAAGGCTTCACTGACTTGTTTAAACTTAATACCTACCCATTGTGGAGGAAAGAGTTAATATAGCAGGCCTGAGACTGCTATCCTTGGAAAGGCCTACTTATAAGATTGGCCCTTAGCTGCCATCTGGGAACTTGGATGATATGCAGCTCCCTACACTGATAGGAAACTTTCCCTAAATTATAAGGTGGCTCACTGTGCGTTTGTGCACACAAAGTGATTTTTGATGAACATCTGCTTTCCTTCTGGGCATCTGGAATTTTGGTATGTGCTAGGCTTATGTGACTAGCCCCTAACCTTGGGCGCTGTCTCTTGTGAGCTTCCATTGCAGAACATGTGTCACATGTATTGTCACAGCTCATTGCTGGAGAGATTGGTGCATCCTGCTTGACTCCACTGATAGAGGACTCTCGGAAGTTTGTACTTGGTTTCCTCTGGACTTGGTTCATGTACTTTTTCCTTTTTCTGATTCTGCTTTACATCTATTTTCTGTAGTAAAGCATAATTGTGAGTGTAATGATTTCCAAGTCCTGTGAGCCCTTCTGGAAAGTCAATGAATCTGAAGATAATCTTGGGGATCTTCCACACAGCCTGAGTGTTGGGTCACTTAATTTTCTTTTCCATATTGTTTGGCATTACAATTTCAATTTTTACATTGAGAGTTTAGATGTATAACATTTTTTAAAAATTAAAAATTTGTAAGATAGTGAAAATATTTTTGCCCAATTAAAATTCTTAAAGTTATTTTGCCTTATACAAGTCTTGTACATTACTTTTATTTTTTTGCTTTAGTTATTTGAAAAATTATTTTGTTTTCAGAATTGGAGACTTCCTCCACCCAAAAAAAGGCATCTAGTTCATCTTTATTACGAAATGAAAATGGTATTGACGCAGAGCCAGCCGAGGAGGCAGTTATTCAAAAACCTCGGAGGAAGACAAAGTAAGAATTTATTTATCTTTCTAACTATTCTCCAGGATTACCCTGATGCTTTGTTTGGAGCTCCCAAACAGTAGCTTCTCATTAAGTCTTATTAAATACTTGTATTTGTGTACCTCTAGGATAAGTAGTATTACAAAATATCAGTTAAACCAATCTAATGATAAATTTGAGAAGAGTAAACCACTGAGAAAGTAAAAATATTAAGATTGTACTTAAATAAACTTAGGAACCATCTCTAAAAAAAAGGAACACAAATAGAATATATAATATGTATAGAATATATAATAGAATATAATACATTAAGGATATTTTTAAAGATAATAAAATAGGCTATTGTGATTTATTTTTTCATGTTAACAGAATTCAAATTATGATTATTTCAGCAATAAGTAAAACTGTATTTTAGCATTAAGCTAAAATGAGTAGTATACTTTAAAGAAATAACACTGGAAGCTATATGTATAGCACTGTTGTTTGTATTTGAAAATGAACCTACAAATAGTGATCAATGTATGTGTTAGTCCATTCTCATGCTGCTAATAAAGACATACCTGAGACTGGTGATTTATAAAGGAAATAGATTTAATTGACTCACAATTCAGCATGACTGAGAAGGCCTCAGGAAACTTAGAATCATGGCAGAAGGTGAAGCAAACACGTCCTTCGTCACAGGGCAGCAGGAAGGAGAAGAATTAGAGCTGAGTGAAGGGGGAAGCCCCTTATAAAATCATCAGCTCTCCTGAGAACTCACTATCACCAGAACAGTATGAGGGAATCTGCCCTCATGATTCAGTTGTCTCCACCTGGTCCCACCTTGACTGGTGGGGATTATTACAATTCAAGATGAGATTTTGGGTGGGGACACAGCCAAACCATATCAGTGTCTATGTAGCATCATACAATTTTAAATTTAGAAAGAAGCTTACAGATCTAGTTCAGTCACTTCAATTTTCAAATGAGAAAACTGAAGCCCTCAGAAATGTAAGTGACTTGCTGCATATAACAGTTAATAACAGATTTATTTGAGTAAAACCAAATTTCTTAATTCCAAGTCCAGGGCTCTTTCCATTATATTTATAGTTAGTTCCTTATGTAAGTCTGTAAAAATTCAATAGTCATCCATTTTTCTTACATGCTTCCTTGTTACAGGAAAACCCAGCCAGCAGAATTACAGTATGCCAATGAGCTAGGAGTAGAAGATGAAGACATAATCACTGATGAGCCAACTACTCTGGAACAGCAGTCTGTATTCACTGCACCCACTGGCATTAGCCAGCCTGTAGGCAAAGTATTTGTGGAAAAAAGCCGTAAGTAGATGCCTTGTTTTAGAATATGAGCTCTTTAAAAATTGTACAAGCATATCCTTTATACTTCTGGAAATCTGAATTAAGGAATTAAGCAAAAATATGTACAACAATTTATACACAAAGTTGATCATCATGCTATGATTTGTGAGAGTGAAAAACTGGAAACAACCTAAATGTGAAATAGGAGAAGGATGATTTCAGTAAGTTGTGGTGTATCTATATAATAATATTCTTCATTAAACATAATGTTTAGGGCAAACTTTTCATTTTATGAAAAGATTCTGATAAAATATGAGCATATACACTTGTGCACATGCACGTGCACACACACACACACACACACACAGTTTGATCTATGCATAGGACAAAAGACTTGAAGGAAATAGACTCGAATATTAATGCTGGTTGTTTCTGGATTTATAGGGTTATGGGTAATGTAAAAAATCTTCCCCACCCTTGCCTGATTCTTTATTCTTTCTTGTGCTTTACTAGTTTTCTGCAATTGGTAGTAGTTGTGGTGGGCAGATAATGATATAAATTTTAAAACTGAAAATAAGAGAAAATACATGATGATAGTACCATATTAAATAAGAAATACAACATTATAGGTATAGATTCTTTTGCAAAATAGTTCTGACATTGTATAATATATACTGGCTACAAGACTGGGTTTGCAGTGTATTTTAGCTCAGGCTGCTATAACAAAATACCACCGACTGAGTGGTTTAAACCACATTTATTTCTCATCGTTCCTAAAGCTAGGAAGCGTAAGACAAGATTCCAGCAGGTTGGGTTACTGGTGAAGGCCCCTTCCTGACTTGCCGATGGCTGCTACTGTGTCCTCATTTGGCAGAGAGAGCTCTGGTGTCTCTTCCTCTTCTTAAAAGGACATTAATTTCATCATGAGAGCCTCACCCTCATGACTTCCTCTAAATCTAATTACCTCCCAGTGACCTCACTTCCAAATACCAACTCATTGCGGGGGGTTAGGGCTTCAACATATGAATTTTTGGGGGACACATTCAGTCTGTAACACAGTGTTTAATAAAAACCTACCCAAAGCATGATCATGACCATATACTACCATGGGTATGTTAAGGATATGCTGCCTAAATAACTCATCTGAGACAAAAAGGTTAGTCCTTAAAATTTATAATTTAGATTTTGTGTACATTGTTTTAAAACTCTGACTTCTTAAGATCACATCTAAGGGATCTTGCAGTTCTTGGTCAATAAGAAACCTGTGGTCTAGAGAGGCTGACTTACCCAGTGTCTCACAGTTGGTTAGGGTGGAACTGGAACTTGAACTGCCGTTTTATGACTTCTAGTCATGTGGTTTTATTCATCTACCATGTGGCTATTTAATTTACTCCAGTTCTTTTTCAAGCAGTATCTCTCAATCCTCATTTTTATTCTTGCTTCACTTAGCACAGAAATTTCCCTACTAGAGTAACTGGCCGTAACAATCATCAGTGGCTCTATTGTCTGCCCAGAGATTGTCTTTTCTTAGGGAAAATTGTCATACCCCTGTCTTTCATCCTCCTAAACACCTGAGAACCTGGTTTGGTGAGGATAATTGAAATGGAACCTTTCCTGCGTCCTGAGGTCTATTTGTGGACTGCTAGATATACAAGAAGGAGCCTTTGAATCAACAGTAAAAAGGCTGAAGCCCTGCTCACACAATATTGCAGTGCTGATTCTTGAACTGATGTTCTTCACAGGAATGTTCTAAAGAGAAATATATGAAGCAGCCCATTTATTTTTTTATTTTTATTATACTTTAAGTTCTGGGATACATGTGCAGAACATGCAGGTTTGTTACATAGATATATGTGTGCCATGGTGGTTTGCTGCATCCATCAACTCGTCATCTACATTAGGTATTTCTCCTAATGCTATCCCTCCCCTAACCCCCTCCCTCAACAGGTCCCGGTGTGTGATGTATCCTCCCTGTGTCTGTCTGTTCTCATTGTTCAACACCCACTTATGAGTGAGAACATGTAGTGTTTGGTTTTCTGTTCCTGTATTAGTTTGCTGAGAATGATGGTTTCCAGCTTCAGCCATGTCCCTGCAAAGGATGTGAATTTGTCCTTTTTTATGGCTGTATAGAGTTCCATAGTATACATGTACCACATTTCCTTTATCCAGTCTACCATTGATGGGCATTTGGGCTGGTTCCAAGTCTTTGCTATTGTGAACAGTGCTGCAATAAACATATGTGTGCATATGTCTTTATAACAGAATGATTTATAACCCTTTGGGTATATACCCAGTAAGGAGGTTGTTGGGTCAAATGGTATTTCTGGTTCTAGATGCTTGAGGAATCACCACACTGTCTTCCACAATGGTTGAACTAATTTACACTCCCACCAACAGTGTGAAAGCATTCCTATTTTTTCACATCCTCTCCAGCATCTGTTGTTTCCTGACTTTTTAATATTCGCCATTCTAACTGGTATAAGATAGTATCTCAATGTGGTTTTGATTTGCATTTCTCTAATGACCAGTGATGATGAGCTTTTTTTCATATGTTTGTTGGCCGCATGAATGTCTTCTTTTGAGAAGTATCTGTTCATATCCTTTGCCCACTTTTTGATTGGGTTTTTTTCTTGTAAATTTGTTTAAGTTCTTTGTAGATTCTGGATATTAGCCCTTTGTCAGATGGATAGATTGCAAAAATTTTCTTCCATTCTATAAGTTGCCTTTTCACTCTGATGATAGTTCTTTTGCTGTGCAGAAGCTCTTTAGTTTAAATAGATCCCATTTGTCAATTTTGGCTTTTATTGCCATTGCTTTCGGGTTTTAGTCATGAAGTCTTTGCCCACGCCTATGTCCTGAATGGTATTGCCTAGGTTTTCTTCTAGGGTTTTCATGATTTTAGGTCGTACGTTTAAGTATTTAATCCATCTTGAGTTACTTTTTGTATAAGATGTAAGGAAAGGATCCAGTTTCAGTTTTCTGCATATGGCTAGCCAGTTTAACCAACACCATTTATTAGATAGGGAATCCTTTCCCCATTGCTTGTTTTTGTCAGATTTATCAAAGATCAGATGGTTGTAGATGTGTGGCATTATTTCTGAGGCCTCTGCCCTGTTCCATTGGTCCATATATCTGTTTTGGTACCAGTACCATGCTATTTTGGTTATTGTAGCCTTGTATATAGTTTGAAGTCAGGTAGCATGATGCCTGCAGCTTTATTCTTTTTGCTCAGGATTGTCTTGGCTATACAGACTCTTTTTTGGTTCCACATGAAGCTTAAGGTTTTTGTTTTTTTTTCCAATTCTGTGAAGAAAGTCAATGGTAGCTTGATGGGGATAGCATTTAATCTATAAATTACTTTGGGCAGTATGGCCATTTTCACGATATTGATTCTTCCTATCCATGAGCATGGAATGTTTTTCCATTTGTTTGTGCCCTCTCTTATTTCCTTGAGCAGTGGTTTGTAGTTCTCCTTGAAGAGGTCCTTCACATCCCTTGTAAGTTGTATTCCTAGGTATTTTGTTCTTTGTAGTAATTGTGAATGGGAGTTCACTCATGATTTGGCTGTTTGTCTACTATTGGTGTGTAGGAATGCTTGTGATTTTTGCACATTGATTTTGTATTGTGAGACTGCTGAAATTGCTTATTAGCCTGAGGAGATTTTGGGCTGAGACGATGGGGTTTTCTAAATATACAATCATGTCATCTGCAAACAGAGATAATTTGACTTCCTCTCTTCCTATTTGAATACCCTTTATTTCTTTATCTTGCCTGATTGCCCTGGCCAGAACTTCAAATACTATGTTGAATAGAAGTGGTGAGAAAGGGCATCCTTTTCTTGTGCCAGTTTTCAAAGGGAATGCTTCCAGTTTTTGCCCATTGAGTATGATATTGGCTGTGGGTTTGGCATAAATAGTTACTATTTTTAGATATACTCCATCAATACCTAGTTTATTGAGAGTTTTTAGCATGAAGCGGTGTTGAATTTTATCGAAGGCCTTTTCTGCGTCTATTGAGATAATCGTGGTTTTTGTCATTGTTTCTGTTTATGTGGTAGATTACGTTTATTAATTTGTGTATGTTGAATCAGTCTTGCATCCCAAGGATGAAGCTGACTTGATCATGGTGGATAAGCTTTTCGATGTGCTGCTAGATTAGGTTTGCCAGTATTTTATTGAGGATCTTTGCATCAATGTTCATCAGGGATATTGACCTGAAATTTTCTTTTTTTGTTATGTCTCTGCCAGGTTTTGGTATCAGGATGAGGCTGGCCTCATAAAATGAGTTAGGGAGGAGTTCCTCTTTTTCTATTTTGGAATAGTTTCAGAAGGAATGGTACCAGCTCCTCTTTGTACCTCTGGTAGAATTTGGCTGTGAATTCATCTGGTCCCGGGCTTTTTTTGGTTGATAGGCTATTAGTTACTGCCTCAGTTTCAGAACTTGTTATTGGTCTATTCAGCGATTCGACTTCTTTCTGGTTTAGTCTTGGGAGGATGTATGTGTCCAAGAATTTATCCATTTATTCTAGATTTCCTGGTGTATTTGCATGGAGGTGTTTATAGTATTCTCTGATGGTAGTTTGTATTTCTGTAGGATCAGTGGTGATAGCCCCTTATAATTTTTTATTGTGTCCTCTTTTCTTCTTTATTAATCTGGCTGGTAGTGTATCTATTTTGTTAATCTTTTCAAAAAACCAGCTCCTAGATTCACTGATTTTTTTGAAGGGTTGTTCATGTCACTGTCTCCTTCAGTTCTGCTCTTAGTTATTTCTTGTCTTCTGCTAGTTTTTGAATATGTTTGTTCTTGCCTCTCTAGTGCTTTTAATTGTGATATTAGGGTGTCAATTTTAGATCTTTCCTGCTTTCCCCTGTGGGCATTTAGTGCTATACATTTCCCTCTAAACACTGCTTTAGCTAAAAAAAGATTCTGGTACACTGTGTCTTTATTGTCATTGGTTTCAAAGAACTTACTTATTTCTTCCTTAATTTCATCATTTACCTAGTAGTCATTCAGAAGCAGGTTGTTCAGTTTCCATGTAGTTGTGTGGGTTTGAGTGAGTTTCTTAATCCTGAGTTCTAATTTGATTGCACTGTGGTCTGAGAGACTGTTCGTTATGATTTCTGTTCTTTTGCATTTGCTGAGGAGTGTTTTACTTCCAATTATGGGGTCGATTTTAGAATAAATACAGTGTGGTGAAGCAGCCCATTTCTTTTCTGTCATCCCAGAAAGTCATGCTACACGTCCTGACATCTTTTCCTAAGAAAGTTAGATTTCAAATATTGACTTACCTTGATAGAATAGACATATGAACTTTAAAACTTCTAAAGCCTCTAAATTAGAATTTTGTAGACTAGGTCATGTTAAAGGTTTCTAGACTTTATTCTGAGTTAAAAGTTTATTATTATATTTTTCTGAAGTAGTTATTTAATATTCATTTTGGATTGAGAAGAAAATATATTGACATTGCTTATTTTTCTTCGAGAAGAAAAAATATTATGTTTGACGAACCCAAAGAAAAGATCCTTCTGAAATAGGTACTGAGTCAAGGTGAATTTTTAGATAGAACAGCAATATTTTGGTCTCAGTTTGTGGCTTCCTGAGTGTGGAATTAAAAAAGAGGTTACCAGGGTTCTCTCTCACTAGTTGTTAGTAATTAAATTATGTGTTCGTAGGGAGATTCCAGGCTGCTGATCGTTCAGAGTTGATAAAGACCACAGAAACCATAGATGTGTCAATGGACATGAAGCCTTCCTGGACCACCAGAGATGTGGCACTTACAGTGCACCGGGCTTTCAGGTGGCTGCTTTTGCTTTTGTTGGACTTTTTTTTTTTTTTTTTTTTAAAAACAAATGTTAACTGAGTTCCATAATTAAAGAAAAAATAAAAATCTCTTGGTTGTTCAATATTGTTAAAGAAATGACAACTTAAAATGGTAGGTAGGTATATTTTTTAAACATCCTTTTGGAATAGAATCATCTACCTATCAGTGTAAATAAAAAGGAAAAGCTTGCCACGAAATGTTGAGTGTTACTCTTGCATATGAAGATATTTTAAACATGTTTTAGCTTTTTACTTTAGTAATTCATATATAATAATTAAACCCTTTTCCATTCAGGATGATTGGTCTCTTTTCTCATGGATTCTTGGCTGGCTGTGCTGTGTGGAATATTGTTGTGATATATATTTTAGCAGGAGATCAGCTATCCAACCTCGCAAACCTTCTGCAACAATACAAGACCCTAGTGTATCCATTCCAGAGTCTTCTCTACTTGCTTTTGACTCTGAGTACAATTTCAGCTTTTGACAGGTAATGCCAGTGACTCCAGATCTATCTAACTTCTTCAGGAGGAAATGCTGAGCTAAATGTGTCACTGCCCATGACAGTCTTCAAAATAGAATAATAGAGTATCAATATTACTTCAAAAAGTTTTTAGGCTAGTCTACTTCCGTTCTTTTTTGAGGGGATGAGACTTTGTAAACAAAATATTCCCAAAAGACTTCACCCATTCCAGCATCAGTTCATAAGTCCAAAATTTCTTTCAAATATAATCAAGTCAGAAGTTCCTAAATATTGTCTACATCAGATGTAGGTGAGACTCAGGGCATTTGTATTTGTTTCCTAGCACTGCTGTAGCAAAGTACCACACACTGGCTGGCTGAAAAACAACACATTTATTTTCTCTCAGGTCTGGAGATGAGCAGTCTGCAATCAGGATGTGGCCAGGGTTGATTCCTTTTTTGAGGGCTCTGAGGGAGAGTCTGGTTCATACCCTTCCCCTCACTTCCAGTGGCTGTTGACAATCCTTGGCATTCCTTGGCTGTAAATGCGTCATTCCAATGTTTTCCTCTATTGTCACACAGCGCTTTCCGCCTGTGTATCTTTATATCTGTGTCTCTTCTAATAAGGACACCAGTCATACTGGATTAGGGTTCATCCTAATGACCTTAACTTTATTACGTCTGCAAAGACCCTGTTTACAAATAAGGTCACATTTGTAAGTATTCTGGGTGAGGAGTTCAACATATCTTTTTGGGAATACAATTTAACCCATTTTTTTAAAAACCCACCTAACTATAGCCTAATGATATGGGTAATAGGAAGTGGTAGAAACTAATGAAATTTTATAGATCAAGTTTTTCTTTAAGATGTCTTAACCTCAAAGGAATGTTGCCCAAAGTAGTCTGGTTAGATGTTTTTATGTGGCCTTTGTAAAGAAGATAATCTTTTCATGTGTGTTAAGTATAAACTGTAGCTACTTAAAACCTAGTAATAGTATATGTGGTAGCATTAGAATAGAGAAGGAAAAAACTATAGTCAAGAAAGTAATGTTTTGTTAAGAAGTTTATAACTGCACTGTGACAGGAAGCTCTTATATTTTTTAGGATTGACTTTGCTAAAATATCAATTGCAATCCGAAACTTTTTGGCCCTGGATCCTACAGCTTTAGCATCTTTCTGTAAGTAAACAGTTTAACTTGATAACTGTGTAATACTTGCGTTATACCATAATTTTGAACCAGGAAAAATATAATTTTTTTAAAAAGTTGTATTACTGCTTCCTATAAACATTGCCTAGAGATGTTCAGTGAATTTGTAATTAGAAACAGAATAGGCATAATATTGATAGAATTATTTTTCAAGAGGTTCATCTAAATAATTTTGAAAAGCTTCATTTGTTGTACTATATTCCTTTTTAACTTGTATTTTCTACTTGACATTAAACATATGCAGCTGATATGGCCTTTTAATAACAAACACTATTTTATATGTTTCTGATCATTTGGAATGCATTGTGTTCTAAGTTTTGAGAATATTAATAAAACTAGTTTTAGGATCTTGAGAAAGTCATTTAACTTTTAAAAAGATCTTCTAGGTTCTTGTCACTTCTAGTGATGAAATAGTGAAGATCTGAAGAGATCCTTCTGCACCTATTGTTCTCAGAAATTTATATAAGAATATCTTTTTTTTTTTTACAGTTTGAGTGGGTTGGCATATATATTTGCTCCTTTCTTTTGTTAAAGACAGAACCACTTAAGATGAGAGATTTATGTTTTGGAATTTCAGTACTGTTTTTATAAGAGGTGGTATTCTGGAGCGCTCAATTAATATTGTTATTTACATTGGAAACATTTATGGTGCCATAGGTTGAAATATATTTATTGAAATATATTTATTTGGTCAAATAAATTTCTTTTATATCATCAGTCACCAAAGTACAGATTATTTTTAATATTCATCTATAAATTCAAAATAAACCAGGTTGTTAAAAATTATTAGTAATTTCATTTGTCTTTTTCTCAGTATATTTTACTGCTCTAATACTATCTCTGAGTCAGCAAATGACAAGTGACAGAATCCACCTTTACACACCGTCTTCCGTTAATGGTAGCCTCTGGTAAGAATTCACAATGACATTAGCAATTGTTAATGGCAATAACAGCAACTTTTCTTATCCTTTCATTCTTTTCTATCTATAAATAATGAAGGCTCTGTTTTTGTTTCCAAACCTAAGGCAAGAAAATACTTATTCCTTCAGTTAATGGGTAACTATTGTTATATTTACCTGCATTTTTAATGAAATGTCTTCTTTTTAAAAATCTGTTTTAGATCTTCAAATTATAGTTTTTGTTTGTTTGTTGAGACAGAGTCTCGCTCTGTTGCCCAGGCTGGAGTGCAGTGGTGCGATCTTGGTTCACTGCAATCTCCACCTCCTGGGTTCCAGCAATTCTGCAGCCATAGCCTCCCAAGTAGCTGGGATTACAGGCACCTGCCATCATGCTGGCTAATTTTTGTATTTTTGTAGAAACTGGGTTTCACCATGTTGGCCAGGCTGGTCTTGAACTTCTGACCTCAGGTGATCTGCCCACCTCGGCCTCCCAAAGTGTTGGGATTATAAGCGTGAGCCACTGTGCCCGACCAAGTTATAGTTTTAAAATAAGTCATCACATGATGAATGGAAGGAGCCCTGCATCCTTACCCACTATCAGGGAGTTTCATATCCCAGAACAGTGGTGGGAGTAAGTAGCTGGGATAGATTCAGAAAACTAAGCAATGCTAGAAAGAGCACAATAGGGAGAGCCAACATCTGCAGATTAGTGTCCAGCCATGAAGCTGACATGATGGCTGAGATTCTAGTTCATAAAACTCAGAGGAGCAATATTCCCCTTCTCCAAAATGCTGCATGTGGCAGCATTTTGAGAGAGTGGCTTGGGACATTGGGTGAAGAGAAAGCAAAGATACTTTATTGATGAGTAATGTCATGGTAGTTGGAAGGGAAACTTACGGAAAATTTTCTTGGGAATACTAACTTTACATTTATATTAATGTATAGAACAGATCTGTTTAGAGTTTAAATAACCTTTGAACCCTTGTTCTCATTATATATATGGTATATTTTATAGGAAAATTATATTTTCTTTCATGCTTTACTTGTTATTTCTCTAGGAGAGGACTGCTGTTTTTTCTTAAAGTTCATAAAGTAGATATATTTGTATATATGAACCAAACTGAAGGCACTTCTAATGAGTATTTCTACATTTTCAGGGAAGCAGGAATTGAGGAACAGATTCTCCAGCCATGGATTGTGGTGAATCTCGTGGTGGCTCTTCTGGTTGGATTATCTTGGCTATTTTTGTCTTGTAGGCCAGGCATGGATCTTAGTGAAGGTATTAAAGAAAAAAACAGTATAAGAATATCCTGAAATCTCCTATAATGATTTTATAAACCTTCTTTCAATGGGTATAGCTTATAATATTCCAATAACAAAGACACATTTAAATTAAAATGATGCAAGCAGAGAGAAAATAAAGTGGTGTAACAGAATGTCAAGAGAAGCAAGGGGGAGTGTCTAAGAGGGCTGGAGTCTGGAGCTGCTTAATGAGGGGCTTCTGTGGTCCTTATGCATATTCAGGAGGTATTTCTTCTCTTGGAACCATTCAAGTAATTTAGAGAAAGTCTTTGCTCTTCACTTCTCTTAGTCTTCTACTGATGAAAGTATCTCTTAATTTGAAATAAATCATGCTTCATGTACATAGCCTCTCTGTCAGACTACAGACACATACTCAAATTATACTTACCTCCTCTATTTGGTACAAATTCTTAACCCTTCATTGTCTGACAGTGTTTAGTACTCAGTTTCAACATGCTCAGTGTGCAGTGATTCACTCATCTCTAGTCCTCAGACTTTCTGGAACACCTGAAGAAGAATCATCATATTAGCAGGCTGCTAACCTTTTATGCTGCTTGAGGAACTGTTAGGTATTTGTATTGTAAATTTTATTTCCTTGGCCAGTGTTCAACAGTTTCACCCTTGAACATCTTTTATGGATATTTTCTGGACCTTGGTTATTATTTTAATTTTGATTTGATAAACAATTTACAATCTATCTGCCTCAGAAGCCTTAGCATGGAGAATTTTGCCAACATCTATGCTAAGTAATAGTTTAAATGTAGAAAATGTCAGCTAATAACATTCTATATTGTGGTGGGCATCAAAACTGCATTTGGGTTGTACAGTCTAAATCACAAAGTGTGTATTACTTAGTAAATATTTCCAGAATTCTGTTCTTTTAAGGCCATGTTAATCATACAACATGTGAATTTAAAAAGTAATTATAAAATAAGATGATAATACCTGGCTTATTGAGTTGTTTTGATGATGAAATGGGATGACCCATTTAAAATATACTGGCATACATCTCTTGTTAGTTTCAAGTCCTTCCTCTGTATCTTTCCCCTGTATTTTATTTAGATGATCCAATCACAGTAGAATTAGACCTTTTAGCTGTTTAGTGATCTTTCATTCTTGAAGTGACTTAAATTTCCAGGTAGGATTTTGTGTATTGTCTCTAATAATGTTTTACTTTTAAGGGGTTTATAATAAATTTAAAATTTGAATATTTTAAAATGTAAAACATATACATTTGTTACCAGCTTATTTTTTATATCAGATTTCACTGTCAAGAAATGTTCAGGGCTTTCTATTACTATATATTATGTCAATATTTTAAGAGACTATTTATAAATAAGCTACATAACTCTGTTGGAGGCACTGGGAAACAATTTTAAGTATGATCTGATCATTTTCTTCTCCAGAGTTAATGTTCTCCTCGGAGGTGGAAGAATATTCTGATAAAGATAAGGAAATCAAAGCCTCTTCATAATACCAGCTCACCTTTGGAGGAATAATGACCCAGTATTTGTACCATTTTTGTTTTAAAATGTATTTTTATAAGATGTGTACATGTGTATTTGTAATAGATATTTAAATTAACACTGAAACATTTCTCAATATTATGAAAAATGTTAAAATTGTATTTGCTATTTATGTCCAAATATTAATTTGTACAGCATTATCATCTTACTTACAAAGGGAATAATGAGGCGGGGCGCAGTGGCTCACGCCTGTAATCCCAGCACTTTGGGAGGCCAAGGCGGGTGGATCACGAGGCCAAGAGATCGAGACCATCCTGGTCAACATGGTGAAACCCCGTCTCTACTAAAAATACAAAAATTAGCTGGGCATGGTGGTGCACGCCTGTAGTCCCAGCTGCTCTGGAGACTGAGGCAGGAGAATTGCTTGAACCCAGAAGGCGGAGGTTGTGGTGAGCCGAGACCGCGCCATTGCATTCCAGCCTGGGTAACAAGAGCGAAACTCTGTCTCAAAATATAAAAATAAATAAAATAAATAAATAAAAATAAAATAAAATTTAAAAAAATTTAAAAAAAAAGGAATAATGAGCTAGAAAACCAGCAAATCAAAATGTTTACTTCCTGTTTTCTCAGAATAGTTGTATTTATAATCATTATCTAAAAAAGCACTGGTGGGGCCGGGCGCAGTGGCTCACGCCTATAATTCCAGCACTTTGGGAGGCTGAGGCGGGTGGTCATGTGGTCAGGCATTTGAGACCAGCCTGGTCAACATAGTGAAACCCTGTCTCTACTGAAAATACAAAAAAAAAAAAAAAATAGCCAGGTGTGGTGGTGAGCACCTGTAATCCCAGCTACTCAGGAGACTGAGGCAGGAGGATTGCTTGAACCTGGGAGGTGAAAGTTGCAGTGACTTGAGACGGTGTGAGACTGTCTCAAAAAAAAAAAAAAAAAAGCACTGGTTCAGAAAAAGCCATAACTTAAATAGTGTTATGAAATATATGTCATGTTTAAACGTAAATTTAGTGAATACAATAGAGGGGAACAAAAGGCCTTCATTTTTGACATCCTTTTACTGAATAAACTGGAAAACAAAATTTGTCTTTTCTGAAACTGGCTTAGTGATTGAGTATCATGAATAATTATTATGTAATTTAGCTTTACAGATGCTTTACATCATGGCTAATAAAGAGAATATCTTTTGTTTGAAAAATTTTATAATATAACCTAAAACTTTTACCTAGAGGTGACTAAAAAGTTGCTTCTCATTATAAACTGTACTAGTGGTTCTCTTATCTGGTTGTACATCAGGATCATAGAGGGAGTTTTAAAAAAATTTACGTAGCAAAAGAGACTGAACAGGGCAAGGCTCAGGGGAACAAAGGAGAGATCTGTGAGCTTGCTGGGCTCCCAGTTGACATCTGCAGTACCCTTTCCTCTGTCTCTTTTTTTTGAGTGACAATACATTTGAGTAGAAATTCACCATCTCTATTCTCCAGCTTTTTGTCAGAGACGTTTTTGGCTTTCCAGGAAATCCCACTCTTGTGATGGGTCCTGAACTGGAAAATATCTCTTCAGAGCTATATCCAGTGATACCTCAGCTGTTGTGTGTGAGACCATAGAGGTCAAGATGATGAAAAGACTAGCTATAGGAAAAAATATCCCAAAGGCTGTTGAGTGCAACGATAAAACTATTGGGCCTGCCCTGATTAGCAAGCAACTGAATGTCAGAACAGAAGAGGACTGACAGATTGATGATAGAGATGGGTGGCCCTAAGAATAGGTCTAAATTTGGTGTGAACATTATACTAGGAATCTCTTGCTGTTTGTAAGGCTGGAGCTGCTGAAAAGGGATTCTCCCTATTGCCACAGAATTGTTAATTTGCTGGCAGTTCTGAAGGCACCCTGCCAGTTCCAGCTTTCAATGTGACCAGCAGTGCTTCTCATCCTGGCATTAAGCTGGCGGTATAGGAGTTTATAATCTTCCCCATCAGCAAACTTCAGGGAAGCCATGCTCATTAGAGCCAAGGCTTAGCACACGAGCAGTGTCATCAAGGAGAAATGTGAGAAAGCTGCTATCAATGTGGGGGATTGTGGTAGGCTGCATAATGTCTCCTAACGATGTCCATGTCCTAATCCCTGGAACTTGTGAATATACTACTTTACATGGCAGAAGGGATTTGCAGATATTTAAGGTTGTGAACCTTAAAATGGGGACATTATCCTGTATTATCCAGACGGGTCCAGTGTGATCTTATGAGTCGTTAAAAGCAGAGAATAGCGCCTTTCATATCTGTGATCAAAGAGAGAGGTCAAAAGTTGTGATATTCCTGGCTTTGAGAATGGAAGAGGGGGCCATGAGCCAAGGAGAGTGATGACCTTGCAGGTGAGTATGGGCCTTGGCCGACAATGAGCAAGGAAATGGATGTCAGTCACATATCACAAGGAACTGAATTCTATGAGCATCCCAAGTGAGTAAGAAAACAAATCCTCCCCTAGAGCTAAGAAAGGAATGCAGCTCTGTGGATACCTTGGTTTTGGTCTGGTGCTGCCTATGTCAGACTTTTGACATACAGTGCTGTAAGACAGCAAGTACATGTTGACTAAGCTGCTAATTTGGTGGTGATTTGTTATGGCAGCAGTAGAAAGCTAATATAGGGTTGGACGGAGGTTTGCTCCTAACAACCTAGAGAATAAAGAAGGCTAGGGCTGCTGTGGAATGCACTTGGGAAAGCTGGCTACATTGATAATATTGTAACTCGCATGGGCATAGTTGCTTTTGAATTCTTTCAGGTCTGGGAAGTACAACTTAGACTTCAGATCTCCTAATGACCCAGGAGGCGCATAAACCTGAGCAGCTGGTAGCCCTGTACAAGTCTTTGTTTTCCCTGGTGGACTTGTACAGGGAACTCAATGTTTTCCCTGATGTCTCTTAAAGATTGTTTGACTGTGATGATTGGGAAGTTTGGAAGAAGTTCACTGCTAATGCATGTCTCCAGGAAGTAGGGAATGACACTTGAGGCATGTTGCTAAGGCTGTCGATGAGAATTCGTGTAACTTTCTCCAGCTTACAGTGGACTAGGTTGACATGCAAGCTGATTCAGTCCAATTGGTAGGGCACCATGGTTTATCATTACTCATGGTTTCTCATTTCTCATTACTGACTTAAAATACTTTTATTGCCAACCTGGTGAGACACTGCCCTGGGTAGATAACACAGGAGCACCTTGCTGATCAGAGCCCTTGGCCAGCTACAAAGAGCTCGGTTTTCTAGAAAGAAGTCCTAGCCAATTAGACTTTGGGGAGGAAAGCCCCTGAAACTTAACAAGCACAAGCAATTGAGTAGACCTGTCCTCCTGAACTAAACAGGCAGCTCAAGGCATCAGACCAAAACTCATAGGGGCTCTGATAGTTAACTCATTTCTCCATCTGGACGTTCTCATTGTCTTATTAAATTGCTGTGGCAGAAGCCAAACTTGATCAACTGGAACCCCATTGGAGGTCCTAACCTTGTAATCACATGATTGGCTAAAAAATCATCACCTTTTCTTGGCTTTCTCCCCACATTAGTGTGTGTAGAAGAATAGAGTTTCTGAGGTGTCAATAGGCAAGATGTCCAGTGAGGGTTTTCTGGTTGCAAAATACAGTATCTACTAATGCCTGCTTCTTCTCTCCCATCAAACAGAACAAAACATATACGTATATGCTTCCAGGCTTCATCCTCAGAGATTCAGATTTAATAGGTCTGAGGCAGTACCTGGAAGACTACATTAAAAAAAAATATCAGGGCCAGGTATGGTGATTCATGCCTATGTTCCAACATGTTGTGAGGCTGAGGTGAGAGGATCACTTGAGGCCAGGGCACCAGCCTGGGCAACATAGTGAGACTCCATCTCCACAAAAACTAAAAATGTGTTGAGTGTGGTGGTGTGTGCCTGTAGACCCAGCTACTGGGAAGGCTGGGCTAGGGGGAGCGCGTGAACCCAGGAGTTCAAGGTTGCAGTGCGCTATGATCATGCCACTACACTCTAGCCAGGGCCACAGAGTGAGACCTATCTCTTAAGGAAGAAGAAAAAAGTGTGGTGATTATGATATAGCCAATAGAGTAGCCAGCATTTGGGACCTCTGGCCTACATAAGTCATTTGTAGTCTATTATAAAAAATGAAGCTCAGATTGCGGTAGGTGATTCAATCTTGGTCAAATTGCTGCTAGGCTTGTGGAAGGATAAATAAATAAATAAATAAATAAAACTTGGTACCTGCCTTCTAGAGGTTCATAATCTAGTCAGAGAGACATTAGTAGGCATAGGAGTGGAGTAATCTAGGAAAGAATTATGGGCAAGGTTGGGTGTGAGCAGGTGCCTTATAGGATAGAGAGGACTTCTGGTGTAGATACAGGATGAGAAAAATGCTATAGATGTGAGTGAGTCCTTAGGATTTTTTATTAAAAAATGTTCAAAGATACTTTAATTGCAACTGTCATCTAGATCAACCTAGATTTAATAATTGTTAAAAAAGAATAATTGTTAAAAATTTTGTCCCATTTGCTTTATCTTTCTTTGTGTATCCCCCCTTTTCTTTTGAAACCTTTTGAAAGTAAGTTGCTAAGATGGCACTCACCTGAATATGTCAGCATGCATCTTCTAGAAATAAGGACTTTTGCTGATATAAAGTGCCAACAGTTATATACTTCTCTGTGTTTCAAGTTCTATAGAATTTTATCACTTGTGTCAGTTTGTGTATCTAGTACCACAATCAAGATATTGAACAGTTCCCGAATCACAAGAATTCCTCATGTTTCCCTTTTATTTATTTTATTTTTGAGACAGAGTTTCACTGTGTCACCCAGGCTGTAGTCCAGTGGCACCATCTCGGCTTACTGCAAGCTCCACCTTCCAGATTCAAGCCATTCTCGTGCCTCAGCCTCCAGAGTAGCTGGGATTACAGGCATGCACCACCATGCCTGGCAAATTTTTGTATTTTTAGTAGAGATGAAGTTTCGTCATGTTGGCCAGGCTGGTCTCCAACTCCTGGGCTCAAGTGAGCTGCCCGCCTAAGCCTCCCAAAGTTCTGGGATTACATTGAGAGCCACTGCACCTGGCCAGAGTTTCCCTTTTATAACCACATCCATTTCCTCCTTGTACTCTTCTCCTTGCACCCCAACTCTAAACCCTGGCAACTATTAAACTGTCTTTATTTCTAAAACTTTGTCATTTCAATAATGTTATAAAATGAATCATACAGTATGTAATTTTATGGGATTGGCTTTTTTTTCTGTTCAGCATAATTCCCTGGAGAGTCAACTCAGTTGTTATGTGTATCAATAGTTCATTTCCTTTTACTGTTTTGTTTGGTTTAAATCATTGACCTATTGAAGGATCTGGGCTCATTCCAGTTTGTGAACTGGAATTCACTGCTGTGAACATTCATGCACAATTTTTGTGTGAACATTCACTTTTCATTTCTCTGAGATGAATGCTCAGGAGTGAAATAGATGGGTTATATGTAGTTATATATTTAGTTTTTAAACTGCCAAGCTGTTTTCCAGCGTTGGCAGTACCATTCTAATTTACCATGACATTTTTTTTGAAGAAGTCCAAGCCAGTTTTGCTTTAGAGTGTCCCACCTACATTTTTGAATTGTCTTTTTCCTAGTGACATCACTTAATTTGTTCCTCAATCTCCTGCATTTCCTATAGACTGGAGGTTAGGTCAAAAGGTTTGGTTACATTTAGGTTAAAATTTTTAAAAATAAGATAACTTCATCTGTGATGCTGTATACCTTATGTTGCATAACATGAGCCCTAAGAACAGAGTGAGCTGCTGGACAGCAAGTTTCATTGGGTGCAATAATTGATACACCACATAGAATAAATCTGAAATAATGACAAATGTATTAAAGTCCTTGGGATATTGGGCCATGTACCCTATGGAGCACAAGGTGAGGTGCAGGTTCCTGCCCCCAAAGAACTCTGTCTTTTGAGATTAGCAACTAATAGTGTGAGCCCACTAATAGGATGTGAAAGTTGTCAAAATCAAGTTGTAGTTATTGCGTTAAAAACTCTAACAGATAGAGCTGGGAAGGCCATGAAAGGAGGATTTTCATGCACAGATGCCTGGTAACAAGGCTTATCATAAAAGACTGTACAAAACCACACCTTGCACAAAGGCCATCACAACTTTACATACAAAAAATACTTCTGGGAGGACATTTGCCCAACAACTGCCTGTCCAATGTCTGACTGTCAACATCCTTGTTATTGATTCTCTCAAAACAATCATTTTTGCTTTAACAACCATTGTCTTCCTTTAGCTCCCTGTATATGCACATAGTTTACTGTGGCACTTGTATTCTCATTGCAATGCCTACTCCGGAATAAACATCATTTTCTTTCAGAGAGTCTCCCTCTCATTATTTAGGCTGACAGGGATATGCCAAGAAGTAGCTTGGATATAGCAGTTAACTCTGCCTTTTAGGTATGTGTACAGGGTTATAAGAATTAACTAAAAGTTGACCTCTGAGCTAGTCCTTGAATAAAAGAGGAATAGATTCCAAAAATAATAATAAATAATTATCCTAAGCTAGGAGAGTACATTTGGTAGACCTTTGGTTTCCATATAAACAAATTAAAATTTTTGTGTACAATAAAGAAGTTCTGGAATTTTCTGGTTTTGTTTTGTTTGTATTTATATATTTAATTTAACTTTTAGGTTCAAGGGTACATGTGCAGGTTTGTTATATAGGTAAATTTTGTGTCATGGGACTGTACAGATTATTTCATCACCCAGCTAATAAGCCTAGTACCCAAAAGGTAGTTTTTGATCCTCTTCCTTCCTCCCACCCCTACCTCTCTGTCAGATAGGGGCCCTCTTTGTGTCCATGTGTTCTTGTTTAGCTTGCACTTATATGTGAGAACATACAGTATTTCGTTTTCTAGTCCTGTGTTAGACTGCTTAGGATAATGACCTTTAGCTCCATCCGCTGCTGCAAAGGACTAATATGGGGGCCTTTAAAGGGATGGGTGACAGCAGGTTGGCAGACCCATGAGTAAATCATTGCAACTGTCTCGAGTGTGATGTCCCAAACTAGGTGCCAGAAAGGGAAAAGGTAAGATTCAGATATTTAGGGTCAGGATTTAAAAATGTGTCCGAATTTTTAAGATTTTGTGGATATGACAATGCTGCATCAAATGACTTTGGAACCTATTGGAAATTTAAGAGGAAAGATGAATATTAACGTGTTATGTGTCTGTGGAACATTTGGGTAAAGATGTCGAAGCAGACTTGTATATTTAACATCAGGAGCTCAGGTGATAGTGTAGAGGAAGTAATGACTGATACTGTAAATCTTCTAGAACGAAATGGTGTACGGAGAAAAGGATTCACGAGGGGTTAAAGGGCGGACAAGACAGTGAATAAAGTGGTTGGGCCCAGTGGTGAGGGGCCTTGCTCTCCACCAGCCGGCTCTGACTTCCTTTTAAAGGAGACTGAAATGGCCTGGCAAGTGCTTGCAGCAGACCCTCCAGGCTCGCTAAGCATACATGCCTCCAAAGCTGGCCTCCCGCCACTCCCAGCAGAGGCCCCAACTGAATGGGTCACTCAAGGCGGCACGCACAGGCTGGAAAAAGGCATGAAAGGCCGCGGGAGGATCACGCCTGCGCGGTAGTGGGCCGGCGGTTGGGCGCAGACGGGCACCGGAAGATGGAGAGATGGAGCCACCCCTGGAGACAAATAGGCCTTTCAACACGTTGGATAACCGCGACGGGCGGGTCCAAACCCTGTCCCCCACCCCTCTATTGCAGAGGAATCCCTACAGCAAGTCGGATATGATGAACATCAGAGGGTCGCAGATTTCTTCGGTTCGTAATATCTCGGACCAGGGCAGGATGGCTCTGCCTAAAGACAAGAACCAGGAGAGCACCGGGAACCGGCTGCTGAATGTGAGTTGGGGCCTGGCGGGGACCTGGAGGACTGGGGCCAGCAGGGCACCTGGAGGGTGGTCATACGATTAAAGGGTTCAATGTGTAGCAACTGCATCTTTATTCAATTAGCATACGTTGAACCCGTTAATCTTTTTTTTTTTTTTTTGAGATAGAGTCTCTGTCTCTCGCCCAGGCTGGAGTGCAGTCGCGTGATCTCGGCTCACCACAACCTTTGCCTCCCGGGTTCAAACGATTCTCCTGCCTCAGCCTCCTGAGCAGCTGGCATTATAGGCGCCACCCACCATGCCAGGCTAATTTTTGTATTTTTAGTAAAGACGGGGTTTCACCATGTTGGTCAGGCTGGTCTTGAACTCCTGACCTCAGGTGATCCGCCTGCCTCGGCTTCCCAGAGTGCTGGAATCACAGGTATGAACCACCACGCGTGGCTTCCTTTAATCCTTTCGACACCCTCTACATTATAGGGTGGTAATACCCAAGGCAGAGTTGCCCTGTGGGACCTTGGGCAATTATTTGTTAGACTCTTGTTTTATTCACTGTTCAATGAAGACGATTACTACCTACCTTACTTAAAGGAGAACGAAAGAAATAATGACATAAAGTCCTTAGCACAGTACAAAGAAAAAAGTACAGACTCAATAAAAGTTAGCTTCTGTCACCATCATCATCACTGGGATTTCATTTATTTGGTTACAGGGCAAAACTTCAGAAACTTTACTTACCCTTGTTTTCATTCGTGAGGTTATTACAGACTGAATCTGCAGAAGCAAATCTGCATCCTGTCTACAAAGTGAATTACTGGCCTCCCGAAACTCTTGAGTTTACCACTATACTTAGCATGAAGACCTAAACGGCAAAGGGGAATCCAATTGAAACTTACCTTTTCAAAGTTGTTAGAGGATTTTAGAACATTTTCAAAAATCCTTTAGGGAATACTACACTTCATCTGTGATAAGTGTCACAAATACTTTCTCATAATTCAACAGTTGTTTGTTGACTATTTATAGTGCTTTTTGCTATTCAGTCCTTATTTTCATTAATTTTTAAAATGATTTTTCTGTTCTCTATTTTGTTTATTTCTGCTCCAATTTTTATTATTTTTTTCTTCTGCTAACTTTGGGCTTACTTTGTTTTTGTTATCCAGTTATTGGAAGTGTAAAGTTAGGTTGTTTATTTGAGATCATTTTTTTTTGGTGTAGACATTTGTTGTTATAAACTTGCATCTTATAACTGTTTTGCAGCATCCCATAAGTTTGGGTATATTGTATTTCTATTTTTGTTGGTCTCAAAATTTTTTTTTATTTCTATTTGATCTTTTCTTTGACCCATTAGTTGTTCAGAAGTCTGTTGTTAATTTCCATGTATTTGTGAATTTTCCAAATTTTCTGTTACTGATTTCTAGTTTCATACCATCATGTTGATTTTGTATCCTGTAACTTAAGTGAATTTATTTATCAGATGTAAGAGTTTTTTTTATCGGAATCTATAGGTTTTTCCAGCTAAAAGGTCATATCATTAGCAAATAGGGACAATTTGACTTTTCCTTTTCCAGTTTGGATGCCTTTTGTTTTTTTTCTCTTGCCTAATTACTCTGGCTAGGACTTTCAATACAGTAGTGGAAATGGGCATCCTTGTCTTATTCTAGTTCTTAGAGGAAAGGTTTTTAGCTTTTCCCCATTCAGTATGATGTTAGCCATGCATTTGTTATATATGGGCTTTATTATGTTGAAATACATTCCTTCTATGCTAATTTGTTGAATTTTTTTTTTTTTAATCATGAAGGGATGTTGAATTTTATCAAATGCTTTTTGTTGAAAAGCATTTGAAATGATTGAAATGATCATTTGGTTTTTGCCCTTAATTCTGTTGATATGATGTTTGATGTTTACTGATTTGCATGTGTTGAACCATCCTTGCATTCCCTGGGATAAATCCAATTTGATCATGGTATGTTATTATCTTTTTGATGTGCTGTTGATTCAGTTTGCTAGTATTTTGTTGAATATTTTTGCATCTATGTTCATTAGGGATATTGACTTGTAGATTTCTTTTTTGTTGTTGTATCCTGGTCTGGTTTTTGCATTGGGGTAATACTAGCCTCAAAGAATGAGTACATGTAACCTGTACCATGAATGGCAATGTCTGGCCAATGAAATCAGTTAACTTGCTGGGTTGGAGAAAGGGTGGAGACAAAATTTTCCCTTTTCCTTGATCATTTTTCTTCTAATGAAACTGTAATTGTTTTGTTTTTACTTGTCTGTCTTAAACACTAGACTGAATCTCTTGAGGGCAAGAACACTTCAAACTGGAATAAGTATTTTGTGAGGCATATATTAATAGTTGTGCCAGCACACTGGTAAATGTCAAATAATTAATACAAGGAGAGTGAGGATTCAATTAGAGGTAGGAAGTAAGAGTATTCTAGGAAAAGGTAAATATGTGGGATTTTAAAGAGGAGAGTGGGTAAGAAAAATCACTGGGGAAGAAGTGCAGACAATGTGAGTGAATGTACAGCTTTTACAGACTTAAAAAAAGTGTTACAAGGGACTTCCATTCAAGGTGGTGCCAAAGGTAGCAGAGATGAAAGGCACAATGGAATTAACTGAAATAAAAGTTATCTGCAGGTTCAGGAGAAATTTGAGGTGGCATCAGAAGCCTTTATGAGATTAATGTTTACAGCCTTTGCTCAGGATTCTGATAGAAATTTGGCAGAGTTGTTTTGCTGATGATGCTGCCGTTGAAGAGAGCTCTGCTAATATGAGAATGAAGAAGTAAAAAGGTAGTAAAATGAGGGGGAAGCAGTATTTTAGCCAGGTTGTTAAAGGATGAATTGAACGTTAGTATTCTAAAGGAATTTTTAAACTTTCCAAATTATTTTGTATTTATATTAAAATGCACATTCGAAATAGACTTCTAAAATAAAGGTTATCAAAACATTACAAAGCATGAGATTACACATCAAATACATATATAAGTTTGATATTTTTATGACAATACAGTAATTGTCATCCGGTTACCTTAAACTATGAAATCATATACATAAAACACATTAAACCAGTCAAATGCAACAATAAAATTATCCAAGACCTATAAAACAAATTTTCTCAATATGACTAAAGTATTTGTTATATCATTTATTTTTATAGTTTTTGGTTTATTTTATATTTAATTAAAAAATAATTGTTTATATTTTGGGGGTACAATGTGATGTTATGATAGATATATACCTTGTGGAATGATTAAATCAAGCTAATTGACATAACCATCACCACACATACTTACATTTCTTTGTGGTGAGAACATTCAAAGTCTGTTAACATTAGCATCATGCTGTGCAGTAGATCACTAAAACTTATTCCTCCCCTCTAACAGAAATTTTGTACCCTTTGAGCAACATTTCTTTTTTTCCTGCTCCTCAGCCTCTGGTAACTACCATTGTGTTCTCTACTTCTATGAGTTCTACATTTTTAGATTACACCTACAAGGGAGACCATGCAGCTTTTCTCTTTCTGTACCTGGCATTTTTTCACTTAGCGTAATGTCCTCCAGGCTCATCCATGTTGTTGCAAATGACAGAATTTTCTTCTTTTTTAAAAGGCTGAATAGTATTCTGTTGTGTATATACACCACATTTTCTTTATATGCTCTTTCACTGATGAGTACTTAGCTTGCTTCCATATCTTGGCTGTTGAGAATACTGCTGCAATGACATGGGAATGGAGATATCTCTTCAGCATATCATATATGAAATCTCACAGCTAACATCACACTCAATGGTGAAAAGCTGAAAGCTTTTTCCGTAAGTTCAGAAACATTGCGAGGATACCCATTCTCACCACTTCTATTTAACATTGTACTAGAAGTCCTAGCCAGAGCAATTGGGCAAGGAAAATAAATATAAAGCATCCAGATAGGAGAAGAAGAAGCGAAATTGCCTCTATTTACTGACAACATGGTCTTATATATATCTTATATTTGCTGATGACATGATATATACTTTATAAACTTTGAATAGTTCACCAAAAACTGTTAAAACTGATAAATTCAGTAAAGTTGCAGGATACAAAATCAACCTACAAAAATCAGGAGTGTTGTTATATACTTTGAAACAAAAATTTCAACATAACTAAGAGTTTGTTGTACACTTTAAAAGTTGAACAATGCAATTCTTGAAAAATACATAACAACAAAGATTTCTCAGAAGTTAATACTTATAAATAAGACCATGTTTATTGAGCTTCTGCAAAGGTTGGGGATCAATATAATTCTCCTTTTCAGGTTAAATTTTTAATGGCCAGTTTCCCCTCCTCCTCTCCCACTCTCTTCCATTTATCTCCCCTCCCCCAACTTTCGCTTTACTTTTTAAATACTTCTTAAATTTATATTTAATGTTTTATAGTTTTCAAAAGTGTCATATTTTTAAAAGGCTGACTATCATATGTAGTGATATACACAAAAAAAGGAAAGTTAAGTATGAACCCTCAAATATTAGTGATGTTACTCTGGAGGAAATCACACAGCTAAAAACCAAAAGCCATCTGTTTATTGCCCCATTCTAGTGTACCTACTATTTTAAGAAACACAATTCCAATTCTTTTTGTGATCACTGAACGAATATTAGGATTACTTGCAAGCAGGATTGCTGCTATCTGTGGGATACAGTACCTAGTTCACATTAGGTTAAGACCATCATGTTGCAGTGATGATCATTTTTAGTTAGGAAGGAGATCTTGAGCCACTTTTTTGAGAGGCTCCTCTGGGTAGCAGATTTCAAACTCACTGATATTAAAGTGGTGGCTGTATTTGGTATTACACCGAGAGTCCTCAACTAACAATGTTTCTATTTATGATTATTTGACTTTGTGGTAGTGTGAAAGCGATATGTATTCAGTGGAAACAGTACTTCAAAGTTTGAATTTTGATCTTTTCCCTGGGTTGGCGATAAGCAGTATGAATTAGCATGCTGGGCAGCAGCAGTGAGTCATTTTTTTTTTTTTAAC